TTGATGTCAATGATAAAGAACGCTCAGGCCAACCGAAAAAGTTTGAAGACACCGATTTGCAGGCATTATTGGACGAAAACTCTACTCAAACGCTCCAAGAATTGTCTGCAGCATTAAATGTTACTCCGATGGCTGTTTCCAAACGTCTACATGCAATGGGAAAAATTCAAAAGGAGGGAAAATGGGTACCACACGAATTAACCGCAAATGCCATTGCGAATCGCTTAAACATCTCTATTTCTCTGCTCGCCAGGCAGAAAAAGAAGAGTTTTTTGTGGCGCATAGTGACTGGCGATGAAAAATGGATATACTTCGATAATCCTAAACGAAGAAAATCATGGGTAGACCCTGGCCAACCATCGACATCCACACCAAAGAGAAATATTCATGGCCACAAAGCAATGCTTTGCATTTGGTGGGATATGCACGGCGTCGTTTATTATGAGCTACTCAGACCGAACGAAAGTATCACGGGGGATCGATATCAATCACAATTAAACCGTCTGAATGAAGCATTGTTGGAAAAAAGGCCAGCAGTAGCCAGCAATCGACGTAAAGTCATGCTTTTGCACGACAACGCTCGACCACACGTTGCCAAAGCCGTCAAAGAAACACTGATGCAGCTCGAGTGTGAAGTTCTCCCGCACCCAGCGTATTCACCAGACTTAGCTGTTTCGGACTATTACTTGTTCCGGTCGATGCAGCACGGCTTGGTGGATGCACACTTTAGAAATTACGAGGATGTGCGAAAATGGATCGACGAATGGATTGCATCAAAAGACCAATCGTTCTATCGTCGCGGAATCTACGCGTTGCCCGAAAGATGGGAAAAATGTATAGCTAGCGAGGGAAAATACTTCGATTAATGTATTTTTGCTTTTGATGTCGAAATAAATGAGTTTTTTAAACAAAGAAACCGCAGGAACTAAGTTTACCACCTAATAGTTCAGAATATCATACATTTTTCTCTTAGTGTGGGTGCATCAAAGAATGAGTTTTTTTGTAGATATTTCCGTAAATATCTTAGAAAATAGAGATGGTATAAAAAATTTTTTCAAGCAAAAGTTGTTTGCTTTTTTACATAAAATAAAATACCGTAATAAAAAATATGTATTTCTATTTAAAAAAGCAAAGTTGACTTTGTTCTGACCTTGGCGACGCCACTCTATGTCAAATAACTACTATCGCTGAATGCGTTTTTTTAAGCCTTACAACTTTTATCTAAAACATTTTTTTCTAAAATGCATCGTTTATGACATATTTGGGTGTATCCAGACTTTTGGTCCACCCTGTGTGTGTGTGTGTGTGTGTGCGTGTGCGTGTGCGTGTGCGTGCGTGTGTGTGTGTGCGCGCGCGCGCGCGCGTGTGTGTGTGTGTGTGTGCGTGTGTGCTTGTGATAACAATCTTTTTCGTTTAGAACAGCTTCCTATAGTACTGGTATTCTAACTGTATAGGCTTTCCAACGTCAACAGTGTTCCTTACAAAAGAACCTTTTTCTCGATGATAGCGGTGAATATTCGCAGATGTTTTACGACATGGTAAATTGCGTTTGGGATATCTTTCTGCATAAATACGCCTTCTGCATAAATACGCCTCACGTGAGTTACTATTTGCAAGACCGTATGCAAAGTGCATATCTGCCATTTCAAAATTTGTAAACTTAGGCATGATGAAACCGATTTTGGACTGAAACAGTTTGGCCCGAAAACGTATGCACAAGCTAACCGACCCGCAGCAACATCAGAACTGTAACCGCGATGCGTTACGTTTCGGATCGCTCGTCGGTTCGGGTTCGTGATAAGCGGAATAATTGAGAAACAATGTTTTCAAGAATAATAATGTACAATATATTTAAATACAATAGGATAATACAATATGGATATCAAATCATACGTGTCGACGCCGTTGGTTTTGGTCGTTTGTGTCCTCTGACAGAGGCTTGTTTAGACGCCGGTTTGCGAGACGTGACGCGCGGTGCGCGGGACGCGGACGATGTCAGTGTCGCGTATTCGCGAGTTTATCTTGTTGACGTTTCTTTCGGCGTCTTGTCTCTTTAAGCGCGGTTGACAACTTCTTACAGCGGTTTTAGCTGCGCTTCGGAATCGTACAATGTTTACGATCGGTGAGACTGCAGCGTAGCTGCACGCGGGGTATTGCCTTAGCGACGATCCCTTCGATCTCCTATCGCGAAGATCTGATTCGGTTCGGTGTATACGATGCGCCTGTCGGTCCTTGTACACGGGACCTGAGCTTTCGGAGTTTCCTTTATGATTGAACGAGCTCGGCTCATTCGGACACGATTTCGGATGCGGTCAACGGTGCCGCGGACGCTTCTATGTGTTGCGGTAACGGAATCCGTCCGATCTCCCTTCTGAAGATCGCTTCGATTATTGCGAAGATCGTCTTGCGTTCCTGTGAGGTGACGACGGTATGATCCTAACGTGGATCTTGAAGGCGTGGTGTCGAAGCTACGCTGCAACGAAGCGTCACTTCGACTCGGTGATGATGAGTCTGCTCGCGGCGACTAGACCGGTAGGAATCTTGCTCGCTCTAAGGCGAACGCGCGATTCAGCTTACGTGGTGGAAGGTGCGTGGAGCGCCCTTCCTGAGTGTCGACTCTGAGCCCTTTGGTAGCCCTGGAATTCGACGGTTCGCGGATTTTATCAGTGTCGGCATCACGAATCCGTGAGCTGACAGCGGAGTGATTACAGTCGCCAATCGACGAACAGTAACCTGCCAGGAGCGGAGTAGAAGCGAATGTCGATGACACGTATCCGTGTAACGACGGCGGAGTGATTACAGTCCCCAATCGACGAACAGTAATCTGCCAGGAGCGGAGTAGAAACGGTCTCTCTTAGAGTGGATACTCGGAATCGGATTCTCCTTCAGGAGCGGTAGATCGGATCTGATTCTCTTTCGAGAGCGGACGATCGAAAATCCCCGCGATTACGATTACGCGGCGTTTTATACTTCTCGAATCTCGCTTGTTTCGCTATTTCCCGCGGTTGTTCGGCGGTCGCGCTGTTTACGATTTTAGAGGACGCGTTGTCCTCTTGCGCTTTTGATTCGCGATGTTCTGCGTTCATTTGTTTTCGTAACGTAACGACATGCATCGTTACAGAACTGAAGTCTATTTTTGATTTTATGACTTTGACTTTGACTTTGTTACTTTGTTTACGGTTGTGCGAATGGTAACTTACGTGAAGCATGGCATATTTATGCAAGAAGATATCTCCAACGCAATTTACCATTTTGTCAAACATTTGCGAACATTCACCTGTATTTCGGAAACTAAGCCGTTTAAGACACATGTTTATATGAACTTTTTTACTTGAAATTGTTGGGGAATGCGCTAATTACCAAGGTTTTTTTTTGAATCAGGACTAGAGGGAAAGAGAGATTGACTGCTAACAGCTGGAGATTTGGTATCAAGCACTTTATTCGACTCTGCAAAAGTCTATTTTAAAATGTCTGTAAAATAAATTTTGTCTCGACAAAAATCTATTTTACTTTTTGCAAATAAAGAACTCAACGAACGGTGGATAATGACGGTACGGAACGAACGGACATCTTGCCCTTGACCATACGTGCTGCGCGCGGACGCGACGGAAATCTTGGGCAGAGCTATATACGTTAGCTCCGTACGCGACGGAAATCTTCTCGCGACGGGAACGAAAGTAGCAGCGATCAAGATCCGACCGCGACGGCGCGACACATCGTTCGCGAGATCGATTCTTAGCGAGTGTCCGAAAAATCGTAATTGTCGGAACACGTGGTGATACGTACGGTTATAACGGCAGCTGAAACATACGTGAAACAGACACGAAACTCACATAAACGAGACGCGGAAAATATCGCGGGCACGACATTATATCATTTTTGCCGATAATCGACTTAACGGACTTAACGGACTCACTTTGGTAACTCGACAGAAGACTGGCGCAACGCGGAATACGAATTTTTGTTACTCGAGTGCGTGTTACTAACCAAGAGAGAGAAAAGGAAGAAGAAGAGGCTTAAGAAGGAAACGAATAGAGATTCCGATCGGTACAAAATGGGGGGTGCGACGGATCCTAATCGATACACGGCGCACACGAGTAGTCGAAAGAGGATCGCGAATGAGACGTATTAGTGCGCGTCAAGGATCGAAAACGTGCGACACCGCGTTCGCGAAGAATTTCGTGATTCGTGAACTCGACCATTGACGCGCCCCAATACGTCCGCGAGCGCGACATTCAACGCTTCGCTGAGACTCTCAAATTATTAGACGATTCCGGAACAGAAATAAACCAAAGAATCGCTCTGTTGAGTATGGCAATATACTACTGTGTCCAAAAAGTAAGGTGACATTGCATTTATTTCGAAAATTCTTTATTTATTCTTGCAAATCAATTTCGTCCCCTTTAAAGTAACCCCCCCCCCTGATATAATACACTTATTTCAACGGATTTTCCAATCTTCGAAACAGTTGTAATAATCGATTTCAGGAATGGCCTTTAGCTCCTTCTTCGCAGCGGCTTGAATCTCTTCTATCGACTCGAAACGGTGTCCCCGGAGCGGCCGCTTGAGTTTGCTGAATAGCCAGAAGTCGCATGGAGCCAAATCAGGTGAATACGGTGGTG